ACTGAGCAAACTCAGGGAGGCAGTGAAGGACAGGAAGGCCTGGCGCAATATGGTTCATGGGGTCACGAAGAGTCGGACACGACTTAACGACTAAACAACAACAAAGCACCTTTTCCAAGGCTGTTGTAACTTCGAACCATCGTAAATGAATGGTTGTTAAGGAAGGACTATCTGTAAACTAGCTTAGACTGCAGTGGGAAACAAAGTTACATATCCATATATTTTAAGTATAATGTAATGATCTCTTATGCAGCTCAGGCCACTATAATATTTCCACCAGTATAAGTCAGTATTTCCTATAGCAGAATAATAATCAAGGAAAACACTGTACTTTGTTAAGATCCTGGTGCCAAGAAAAAAGCTTTTTTTAAATTATATCCTTGTTTTCAGCCATAATATGACAGTCAAAGACTTTTGCAGTCAAAGCTGAATACAAGATATAATATAGGCACAATGCAATAAGAAAATCACACCAATAATCATGTCCTTTCTTAAAATGAAATTCTTCACACTTACAAATTTGAACCCAGCTAGCCTACTAGGGGAAAAAGACCAGATTGGCCTGCTGTAGTTATTATGTTTACTCTAGTTCTATGCGTTTTGGCTTAAAACAAATAATAAAGAAATGTTGATTTGAACAGATACTGTCGCTTGCTAATTCACTTCAAGTGCAAGCATAATTTTCAAAAAGTTAATTCAAACTCCTCCCGCAGAGTTTTCCATGTTCAGCAGCTAAGATAAATTTTCAACAGACAGCAGGAAGCACTATAACTAGTAGATATTTCATGCCAAATAAACTCTGTCACTGTTGATAGGAGTACAAAGATTTGGATGTTTAAAGTCAGACAAGCCCTATAAAAATATACTTTTGCATGTTGGCTTATGTAGCTTAATATTTAACCACTCTGTAATGATTTAAATGAAATGAAATAATAAAGCAGAGAATCATTTGCTAAATAAATGATTTCACTGTTATAGTTAAGAGAAGCAATTTCCTATTCAAGCTTCATTAATATTTTGTTTGTTAAAAAATGTAGTCTAATTTTAATATGCCCTTTTGCTGTGCAATAATAGAAGTTTTGATAGATCCATAAAACAATGATTGAGAAGTCAAAATACATTCCTGTGATCAAAGCCACATTTGGAAATACAGGGATTTTTTTCCCCCCTCACCTCCCAGTATTTCCCAGACTATTTATTTTGTATACCATCTCCCATAATACTCCATCACTTTTTTTGGGGGGGGGGGTGCCTTCAAGTCATTCTTGACTCCTGGTGACTGCATGGATAAG